TTCTGTTTTCCTGTGATACCAGCACTGTTTCCTGGGACTGGTATCGATTAACAGGTTAATTTGGAGCGTCACGGGCTAGTCCTGGTCGGGACTAGTTCGGGGCGTGACAATAGTCTAGTATTTTCTAAAAAAAATCGCTAGCCCAATTGTCGGGGAGGTAGCATGCCCCTAGCCTCAGGTGCAGTAGGTCTCAGTGACGGCAACATGCTCATGCGGTAGAAAGATACAGTGGCCCTGACCCAGGGAGGGGCGGATGTGTCGTCCTCAACCTTGGGTGTGACGGGTCTCAATGGCGGCGATGATGATGACAACAAGCGGCAAGGGCTTGGCTTTGAGGTTGGGGTCAACGAGATGGCGAAGTCAGATGGCCTTGCGGGGAAGAGACCTGCTGCAACATGGAGACGGTTGGAAACAGAGCTTGAGGTGACGCCGGATCCACGTGGAGCTTGGGGCGGTGACAGATCCAACTAGAGCTCGGGTCCATTTGTCGCCATCTTCATCACCTCTTCTCTCCCTCCGCCTCTTTGTTCGCCTCTGCCTCTTCCATTTGGCGCTGCATGAGCTCGACGGAACCAGGCCAAGGTTGATGCTGCGGGTAGGGTGACATGTCGGTGGCGGATTGTAGTTCTTCAGAGGCGGGCAAGATTTAGGTGATGGACTGCGGATGGTGGGCGAGAGGCAGGCAGAGATCGATAGCGACCGAGATGAGTCAGGGAAGAGGAGACCAAGAGAGGAAGAAGCATAATTGACATGTGGACTCCCACAAATTGTTTTGATTTTTTTATGCTGATTGGACTACCACGCATAAGCCATATATGACCAAAACCGTTCTCGAGTGAGTCATGGGGGCTCATCCGGTTTTAAAAGTTGAGTGTAAATGATGTCTATTTTTGAATTGATATTGTAATTCGTACCGTCGCAATAATTAAGGGAAACGGTCTCCTTAGGAATATGTTAATTATCGTATTATGACAACACCATTTTCCATGTAAGTACGGTAAAATGAGGGAAACAGTCGGTAGAACAATAAAATCGTATTCGTTTCCTTCTCTTATTTTGTCACTTTCTATTATTGCTTCCATGGAAATTTTCGTCACCATTTTCACCCATACTCAAAAGAATATGCCAAAGACACGAAGTTCGTAGCACCATAACAGACAATCCAACCAACTTGAACTATTAACATGTGAGGTATGTCGCCTAAAAATGTCTACACACCTAAGTCGAAGCAGCGACTCGAATCCAAGAACACGCGCACAAGGCTCAAGCAATGCATGTGAACGGGAACGCGTCCAGATACAGAATAAGTGGACGGAATTTATTCTGAACCGAGGGAACAACGCAGGATTTGCCGTTAAGCTATGTTTGACGTTGCATGTTTTCACCGCCGTGGATTTCCGCGCGCAACCAGTGGCTAGCCCACAGACGGCGACACCTCATTCTCCCTTCTCCCCTCTCCTCTCGTCGCCGTGGGTCCAATCCCTCTCCCTCATCCCCCGTCGGCGGCGACGGAGACTAAAACGACGACAACGCCCCGTCGGCAGCGACGGGGACTGCAATGACGACAACGGCGGCGGCGATGGCCGTGAGGCGGCGCCACGGCGCTAGCGAGGAGAAGCAGTCGGACACAGCGTGATGAGGAAGAAGAGGGATGGAAGAAGGAATGACATGTGGGGGCCGCGTGGGCCCCACCATTTCTCTAGCTGACATGTGGGACCCGCGTGGCCCCTGCTATTTGTAAATGATTTTTTCTATGTAGCTGACATTTGGGGCCAACGATTTTTATTATTTTCAAGGATAGAATTGTCACGTCAGCGCCACGTCAATGCCACATGGGACTGTAAGTTCAAGTGCCTTAAATTTGGTTTTGGTGATTAATGACAAATCTAACTATATGAGACTAATCATTTTTATGAGCCTTTCTTTGACTAGTCTCATTTGGATATGAAAGTAAAAATGATGAGAGGTATGTATTAAACTTCACATATTCTAACTTGGTCTCTCTTGTAGATCCAAAATATAGTGTGAGCTTCCTATTTGATCTTTATTGATTATGTGCATATGCGTTCCTTCATATCCATATGTATGCACATCTTGAGGGGGAGCTTATTCTATATTTTGTTTATTATAAGATTTCTATCTTGATTTGAAATCATTTTTCATCTCATCTCTCTATATTGTTTATATCGGGTTATTATCCATCACCAAAGAGAGAAAATATTGAAAGATCTTCGATTAAACAATTTGTGTAATTGTTACTTTGGTGATAGATGATAAACCGATGTTTATGGGATTAACCTCTCTTTTGCATAAGTTGTCTACTAGGTTATTTCCCGATAATGAGATGTGGAAGACATGCATTCTTTTGTGATGGAACTTAATCATGACAAGAATGAAATGCATGGAGATAAAACGATATGTACCACTTCTTATCTCCTACTTTTTGATAGGTTCATATATATGATTTCTATGTTATTGATATATAAGTGTGAGACTAATGTTTACTCGAATGTTATATTATTTAGTCTCATTTACATTGAGAACATGGAGATCATGAAGGTATATGTTTTATGTTGGTCTACATCATTAGTACATATGCCTTCTCTATATGTATAGGATAAACCCCCATTGGTCATTCTCTAATTATGCATACACTTGAATCTCTTGTATATTTATTTGTATGCATATATTTAGGGGGAGCAAATCCTATACATTTATTGTGCATGTTCCAGATCCATGTTGTTCACCTATTATTTATATCGGATCTTTACACTTGAGCTTGCATACGAGTATATGACACTTGTAATGTTAATGAATACTCAACAAGCATATACATATCTTTCATATGCAACCGGTTGGTCATCAAGTGAAGGATGACAACCGATTTGTTGAGACTAATGTTCTCCTTTGAGGTGTGAAAAGGAATAGGTCCCACTACGATGAGGCTAATGAATGACACCATGGGTTAGTGGTCACCAAGCCAAGGACATCGTCATGTTGGTAAGAATGAAGTCAAACTTGTGATGAGAATAAAGTCTTGACAAAGGATGGATAAGACCTCGGCATAAACATGGTTCAACCGGATGGTCACAAGTGTTGATCTCGGCTCAAGCTTGACCCCAAGATGGATGGCGCAAGGCAAAGGTATAATGTAGCTAAGAATATTTTCTTAGTCTTTTCCCGGTCTTGGTGTTTGGTGTAGACCGGATTTGCTAGATAGGCGCCGTACTATCAAGAGGGGTCTATGAAGCGAGCTTGTGGATGAACTTGTGCCATATTAGTTTATATGCATGTAGGTGTATTTTGTGGGCTTGTCTAACCAAGTGTGATGAGTTTTCTCAAGTCCTAAACCAAGAGATAAGTGGGCATGTCCAATAGGAGTGAGTGACATCTTGTGGGTATGTCCGGTGGATATCCTTTGGAGTGTGAGCCCTTTATCCTTGACTTAAGTTGTGTTTCTTGGATGGATTTTTCATGGTTTGGATGGCCCTTTGAATAAGCTTTCCATAGAGTCCAAGAACGCCGAATTCCGATACCCGAGTCAAGAGATATCGCCGTTTTACTAACGGTCGGTTGAGCTGAAAAGTGACATGCGGTCTGACCGTGGGCCTTAGGCCGGTCTGACCAGGTCTGTTAGCCGGTCTGACCGGCATGGTAAGGCCGGTCTGACCGGCCCCACTGGTCTATTGCACTGATCTGGTTTTTGGTGGCGATACAGAGCCGCCAGAGCCGCAACCGGTCAGACCGAGCCGACGGCGGTCTGACCGAGCCGTGGATGGTCTGACCGGCCACTACACTGCGGTCGGACCGGCCAGGTTGAGTGGGCTCAATGATTGCCCTGTAACGGCTACTTTTATAGCCGTTACAAAGTAGTCCAGTCTGACCGGCCTCACAACGGTGGTCTGACCGGCAGAGCATAAAGTTGGGGATTTCGGTTCCAACGGCTAGTTTTGGTGGTTGGGGGCATATATACCCACTCCCCAGCAGTAAGGGTAAGGTTTTGGCACTCCATTGCATTATCTTGAATCCTTTCAAGAGCTATCACACCCTTGTGCACTTAGTTTATCTAGTGAGGTGTTAGAGAGTGAGTTAAGCCAATCCAAGTGCATTGCTTCATTGCTAGTGTGGCACTTGATCATTCTCGGCAAGCATCCTAGACTTGTTACCCTTGGAGGTTGCTGCCTCCTAGACGGCTTGTGGAGGTGTTGTCCGGTGACCTCTCCGAGGAGATTGTGGAGGAGGTCTGGCGCCGTTTGTGAGTGGTTTGGAGTTCACCACCTTCGGAGTGAAGGAAGAACTACCCTAGTGATCGAGGCTTGGGTAGTCCTCTCCGTGGGCCGGCTCCCACCTTGCCCACCCCTTGACGAAGGGGGCGTGCGATAGCTTCGTGGTTGAGCGGTGGAGTTGGGCTCGCCTCAACGGGGATTAGGAAACCGGCGAGTTTCCGAACCTCGGTGAAAAATTCGTTGTCTCTTGTCTCATTTATTTATTGCATTTACATTTGTGCAATTTATTTTCATAGAGACATATTTGAGCCCATATCACCTAGGTTTACAAAACTTAACTTAGTTGCTTAGTTAACCTTGCACCTCACCTTGCCTAGCAACTTAGGTTAGTTTTGTTTAAGTGCCATTAAGTTTTAAAACCGCCTATTCACCCCCCTCTAGTCGGCCTCCTTGATCCTACAGGGACGAAGACATAGTCAAACCAGCCACGTGGGTGCCACGTTAGCCAAAACTGCCTTCCAAACCGCCGAGGGATCTTATTTGCACCGGACAGTTGAGGGACCGGTTGTATCTGGTTTTGGGTTGAAGGACGAAAATCGGATTCGGTGTAAAGTTAAGGGACCTCAAATGAACTTATTACTTTCCGTTTTGCCTTGCTGGCCCATCAACTAAGGCCCGATAATTCCATATCGCCATACGGGCCATGAAGGGAAGAGCCGCACGCCAAAGCCCACTGGAGTAAAAGTTAGCCAGCGAGGGACCCCGAACCCGCGACCTGCGGACCCAACTAGGGCGGCACGCCGCCGGCCGCCCCAAGGGCCAAGAGGCTTCCTCCGCGAGTCCGCCTCCGCCTCTCTCCTCCTCGGCCGGCAACACGCCATGATGACGCCAACACGACGGCGGCCGACCAATCTACACTCGGAGTCCGGCGAGGTAACTAAAACCCCTAGTTGCTCTTCCCTCTCTCGGTACAATCTAACACGGCAAGTTCGAGCCGCGTTTTCCAGATCTCGATTTTTATTTTTTTTGAAACCGAGCCAGACTTTGCTGATGTTTTAAGCAGAGAGAAAGTTATTTACAGATCTCGAATTCTCGATTCCCTGCTGAAATAGTCTAGGCAATTTGATGGAGTACTAGTAACTTCACCGGATACTCTCACCAATACGGCAAAGTTTTGTACGGTCGCCCGTTTCGTTTGCAAGTACTCCACTTGTCGCCTAGTATATGTTTTCTGCCGGGTCGGCCGAAAGGAACGGCGACCAAATTTCATTAAGATGGGGACGCCTAGTATATGTGAAGCAGTCATTTTTCACCAAGTATTAGCATCCCCTAGTCCTCTCTAGTCCTTGAAATGCGTATTTGAATGTGTGGTTGCCCTTCCGCTTGATTGTGAAGCTTTTCCGTGTTTGGAAAAAAAAATACATGTTGAAATTTGTTGATCATTCTGATTTTCTCAACCTAACTCTTATGCAATTGCCCGTATGAACTGCAAGGTTTAGTCAGGGCGCCTGCGCCTCGTTTCCCTGTTAGTTACACCGGCCCACAACTTGCTTAGTTTCCATGTGAGAATTTGCTTGCGAAAAAGTGAAAGTCCTTTTCCTCCCTGCTTTTGCCTTTCATTTCCTTGTGACGATAGACAAGATTTTTTCCAGTCGTGTGCTTGTTTTGGATTATTGCAACTTTTGTGGATAATAAAGCCGCTACTTGTAAGTAAACGAAAAAAAAATGTTGGCTCAGCATGAACACACGTTTGTTGTTCCTTCAATTTTCTTTTTGTACCAAGATGTTTCCTGAAGTTAGCATGGCAAGTAGGAAATACTGATCTGTCTTGACGTTGATTCTTCTATGAACATTGTATCGATGAACATCCAGGTTGCCTCCAATCTGTCGCCTCTAATCTGTATGCATCATCTTAAGCAAACTATCACTTCTAATCTTTAGCTAAAATCGTTAAAACGACCTTTTGTTTTCTGTGTTCTGTGGAGGCTTCAGGCTTGTATAGTTGTATTTAGGACCACTGATCTTAAAATCTTCATAACATATGTTTATGAGTACATTTCCTTCATTGGACCACCAAGCATTAATTTTGATAAGCTTTTGCAATGCAGTTTTTCCATCACTGTTTCTCTATAATTTCATTCTCCTATACTACAGAAACTACCAGCTCATTGAGACAATGCTAAAGTTATCCTAAGGAGTTGACTGACTAGAAATTTGTAATGTACTACAGTTCGTGTAGATTTCTATTGGGGGATGCAGAACCACTATTCCTTTCCTCTATGGTACTGGCCTGCTCATATTTGTAAGTATGCTACAATTCTTAGACTAGAAGACATGTGCCTTTCAACATTCTCGTGGCATTGAAGAATACTTGTTTCACAATATCAACATCTAACAAACTGTCTAACAACTCAAGGAAAGGGTAAAGCATTTGGCTACGAGAAGTTTCTGTTTGGAGGGTAATGTATAAGTGATTCTGTACTAAAAGAAAATAGATCGTCGCGTTGTTTTTCTTTAAAGTTGCTAGAGAGTGACTGAAGATTTAGAGATCCTCTCATTAATGTGGAAAAATGAGTAGCAAAGTTAGATGGATTAACAAGGGCTCAGTAGTTCGTTTTCATCTGCGACTCTGCGTCGGGTGGAGTAATACTAATAGATATGCGTAGGCACTATGGAGGGGTCAAAAAGTACTATTATTAGGACCTCCAATATAACGCCAAATAGACTCATTACTCCTAAGGACAAATGAACATACAAAAGGGATAAGCAAAGCAGAAATGATGGGAAAAATTACAGTGAGTGCGTAACTCCTGTATGTACTCAGAATTTAATCCTTGCTCAGGGTTGAGTCATTTAATTATGCATCCTTTTGTGTTGCAGATTCACCCTGAACCTGCAAGTTTTCAGTAATCAGTTTGCACGATTACTAAGACTTGTTTTAATTGTTATGCTGGTGCAACCTAGACCTGGTATATATGTTGCCCAACAATCATGTCATAACTGTGACATGTAAAGAGTGTCCATTATGAACTGCTTAATTTGTCAGCATGATAACGAAATTTTGTTTTCTTCCCAACAAAAAGTTGGGGGCGTCACTCTTTTTCCAGTTTCTTCACTGCCAAGGAGCAGAGTTAAAGGTAGACTTGGAAATTGACAGTGACATATCAGAATTCAGAGCATAAATCCAAACAGCAATATTTATTATGGTTGTTGAATGGGTGCTGATGTGGAACTAAAGCAAACGATGCCATTAGAAGAACTACAAAAATATCTATTAGTTTCTTTTCAAAGAATTCACAATACTGTTGCTGCGGTGATTGAGAATTGGGGCAATGTTCAGAACAGATGGCCTTGATCATGTTTGAATGGAGACGTCGATTCATCTCCCAGCTTCTCAACTGACTACATGGCTTCGATAATGTTCGAAGATGGGATCCATAGAGGCGCACCATCGTGTATCAGACATGTTGGATATTACTAAGAAGATAATAGGAGCAGTATTGCAAATTTGCCACATCGAACCAAGTACTGCTGTAAAATTTCTATCTTCATTCTGCCGTATGTTAAAAAATACTCTATCTTGCAGAATAAACACAAATACGCAACTCAAGCAGGTAAGTTGTAAGAGTTTCCCTTTCTGGTGGAGAGTAAACTTTTGCAGAGGTTCAACTATACCATATTTTCTATCATGCGGTTCTTCAGATTTCAGTACAGTTGAAAGTTGCCAAAACACCACCAGAACATCAGAAACAACGACGGTTGTTGAATGAGACGTTGAAGTTTGCCTTTGTGCACATTCTGCCGCAAAGGATCTGTTCAGCCGCGAGACCTGTAAGTATCACGGTATTATGAGAGAAAAGAACTCTTTTGAGCATTGTAGTAGTGTTCCTTGAATTTTATTTTTCAATTATTCCCTATTATTTTCTGCAGGTATGTTTTACTTATTTCAGCTTATGGAGGCCTATTCTTTTGAGCTAATCGTTGACGGATTCCCAAGATCCTAAATGGTATGTTTTTTGCAAAAGACTTTCTTCATCATAATTTCTTTGAGAAATTTTTGCAACAAAATTTCCACTTTCTAATATTAAATTCATTTGTTTGTGCCCCAAATAATTGTCATAAACTCAGTTTCATCCATCATCTATATAGAAATGGCCTAGTACAGATACAGTTGCTGTAATGCGCTGCGCTTGATTTTAAGTTGCTTGGAAAACTAAAACTTGTATTCATTATAACTTGTTCCATTGTTATGGTTAAGGAAACATGTTATCTAACTGTCATGCTTCTCTCAATTGTTTCAAATTCGGGATGCAATAATGTTTTTTTACACTGAAGATTAATTTTGAGGAAAATTGATGGTGGTTTGCGTTTTACTGTACTACTATTACTATTACAATTTTGGAGTAAACAATGCAAATACTAGTGTTTGTCTAACCGACCACGTCTTTACTCTGTTGGTTTTACAAATGTATCATAAAACATCATGACTTGTGTAGACTTTATACTGCCTCTGTTCCTAAAATGTTGTCGCCATTGGTAACTAATTTAGTTTCGATCCCTAATAATTAGATGGTTAGGCTACATGAAAATCCCTAAAATCCCTTATATTTTAGGATCGGGGGAGTACCTACTATATGCAACTAATAAGGTAGTATACCCCTGATATCCATTTCTATCACCATCCGGTTACATCCCCAGCATTCAGTAAAAATTCAGCATTCACTGCTACACTACTTATACACACTGGATGCAGCAGAAACGAAAAAAGAATACCATCTTCTTTTCCTGTCCACTCTGGCGTCCGGCCTATAGGAGATCTTGAAATCATACCGTGAGGAGTATTGAGCATGTGATTCTATTGTGGTTGTGATGAGCCTGCTGTTTCAGCTGTCTGGTACTTGGTTGACTCTTGCACCTGCTCCATGACGAAGGTAACGAGTGGCTACGTACGCCGTGGCCGTGCTAATCAATGGGCGAGCTCTGTGAAGAAGCTAACTCCCAACCAACTATTCCAACTCGGTTATTAAAGCCAATGGTAATCGCCCAACGCTGCATGCTGCACTTTACCCTTGTAAAACTGTGAGCGTTTTCCTTTGGTGGATAGAACAGTTGGGATGCGATGCACGGGGAAAAGGGAATTGCAGACACGCCAGAAAGGCAGAGACATTGCCGGTATCTATCACGTGAAAATGTGATGCTGCAACTTGTCCGTCCCATGTATGAATTCAACATTTTGGGTGAGAAAACATGTTTTTGCTGTTGTTTACGTAGCTTACCGCAGGGATTACCTCCTGCGTGTTAGACTGCACCAGTCAAGAAAACCCACTACGTTACGTGAAGCTAGCAGCATCGATCGCACTAGTGTCGCTCTCTGGAAGTAATAGCCTCTTAAGTTAGCTGCGAGCTAAGCCTGCAATTATACACCGTCTCCGCCTCCCCTTCCCATGTCACAACCAACCTTGGATATATTAACTCCCTCTCCCGCTGCTCCACTCCACTCCCACACCATCAGCGAGCACCTAGCGGTCGCATCGCTAGCTGCCATCTCCTGGTGAGATCCATCGAGACGCCCGGCACGACGACGATGGTGTCGCGGAGGTTCAAGCCCGTGGAGGAGTGCAGCTCGGATGGGAGGTCGGAGCAGACGGTGGCCGCCGACTTCGACGGCACGCTGGTCAGGTCGCGGAGCGCCTTCCCGTACTACCTCCTCGTCGCGCTCGAGGCCGGCAGCGTGCTCCGCGCCGTCGTGCTGCTGCTGTCCGTGCCGTTCGTCTACGTGACCTACATTTTCTTCTCCGAGTCGCTGGCCATCAGCACGCTGGTGTACATCTCCGTGGCGGGGCTCAAGGTGAGGAACATCGAGATGGTGGCGCGGTCGGTGCTGCCCAAGTTCTACGCGGAGGACGTGCACCCGGAGAGCTGGAGGGTGTTCAACTCCTTCGGCAAGCGGTACATCATCACGGCGAGCCCCAGGATCATGGTGGAGCACTTCGCCAAGACGTTCCTCGGCGCCGACAAGGTGGTCGGGACGGAGCTGGAGGTCGGCAAGAACGGCAAGGCCACGGGGTTCATGGTGAAGCCCGGAGTGCTCGTGGGCGACCACAAGAGGCAGGCCGTCGTCAAGGAGCTACGCGACGCGGTGCCCGACGTCGGCTTGGGCGACAGGGAGACGGATTTCGACTTCATGTCCATATGCAAGGTAAATTTGACGCCCCCTCAAACTCATTTTTTGCTCATAGTAATAGTACTGTCGTGTTGATTGTTAATTGCAGTGATCAAGTCCTGCGACGAATTAGTAGTAGCACTGCCAATTACTGGCAACTACGAACTGGTTAGACCATCTTGTACATAAATTCCGTATAGAATGCTCTGTTTATTTCGGAATTACTGCATTCCAAACAAGAAACATGAAAATTGGAATTAAGTATAGTCTCCATCACACATATTACTTTCATAACGTGGAATTAGCACATCAGTTACAATTGATTTTTGCTATGACGAAGCTATGAACACCGCCTACTATAAATTCTGCAATCTGTACAAACATGCAGAGGTTTCAGATCAGAGTAGAGTGGTTTCAGATCAGAGTAGAGTATGCCACAGTGGTCGAGCACGCGAACAGCAGGGGTGTATAGTCATTGTCAGGCCATTTATGACACTGATCTGTAGATGTTGCTCAGCCCATTATGCGAAACCCAGTTTAAGCTTCCTGCACTGACCGGTCGCTCTGTTCCACCAACATCCTTAATCAGTAAACTAATAATAAGGATCAAGGTCATTATCAGAACTCACAAAACGTCTACGTCGCACATACTAGATCCTCACCTGAAGCTTAACAACTCGAAAGCTCGAGCAAATGATCAGAAAAGGAATCTGGAGGCGGGCAGAGCCAGAGCATGGAAGGAAGCCGATGGTTTTTACTCGCCCGTGGCCCGCCGGATTGAATGCGTGGATTCACTCATGCCAGTATGCCACGGTCGAGTCAGTCCGTCCGGCCGGCTGGCTGGCTCCATTATTTACGGTTGTTTGGTGAGAATTCAAGCCTTGTCCCGGCCGCATTGAAGGAGATCGGCCGGCTGGCGCGTGAGACATCAGAGCTGGTGCTGGCTGTGCCTGCCAGATCCACGGCTGCCCTTGCTTTCCCTTTCTTTCTTCCTTTCTTCCAGCCGGTAATGCAGAGAACCACTGAAATAAATACTGCCATTCATGGTCTTGCCCCTTCTTTCCCTTCTCCATGGGACCCGTCTTTCTGTCACTGCCCCGGGGGTATAACGAATTTCTCTCGTGGAGGGGAAATCACCCATTTATGGGCGCCAGTCTTGCAGTTGTTGCGGTACAGTAATCGCTGTACTTCTTTACCACTGCTCTGGTCTACTCTCGCCTATTGATTGGCTGATACACGTCAACTTAAATCCAACAGTTTAACTCCGAAAAAACATAATTTTGATTAAGCATGTGAAGATCTGTCATCTGTGGAACCATCAGTAGTGGACTGTACTGAATTGTAATCGTGGTAGGATGTAGGTTTGGCGTACATGGCGAGATGAACAAGCATTTATATATTCGATAAAATAAGAAGTGATGGTGATGCTGTGATTTTTGCATCAGTGAAGTGTTTGTAACATGCATGCTGCGTGTCTGTGCAGGAGGCCTACCTCGTGACATCAAGGAAGTACAGCGCGGTGCCCAAGAACCAGCTGCTGAGCCCACTCATCCTCCACGACGGCCGCCTCGTGCAGCGTCCGACGCCGCTGGTGGCGCTCGTCACCTTCCTGTGGATGCCGTTCGGCTTCGCGCTCGCGCTCCTCCGCGTGTACGTCAACCTGCCACTCCCGGAGCGGATCGTCTTCTACACCTACAAGCTCATGGGCATCCGCCTCATCGTGAAGGGCAACCCGCCGCCTCCCCCCAAGAAGGGACATCCTGGCGTCCTCTTCGTCTGCAACCACCGCACCGTGCTCGACCCGGTTGAGGTCGCCGTGGCGCTGCGCCGCAAGGTCAGCTGCGTCACGTACAGCATCTCCAAGTTCTCGGAGCTCATCTCGCCGATCAAGGCCGTCGCGCTGTCGCGGGAGCGCGAGAAGGACGCCGAGAACATCCGGCGGCTGCTGGAGGAGGGCGACCTGGTGATCTGCCCCGAGGGCACCACCTGCCGCGAGCCGTTCCTGCTGCGGTTCAGCGCGCTCTTCGCCGAGCTCACCGACCGCATCGTGCCGGTGGCGATCAACACCAAGGAGAGCATGTTCCACGGCTCCACCGTGCGGGGCTTCAAGCTCATGGACCCCTACTTCTTCTTCATGAACCCGCGGCCGACGTACGAGATCACCTTCCTGAACCAGCTGCCCAAGGAGCTCACTTGCAGCGGCGGCAAGTCGCCCATCGAGGTGGCCAACTACATCCAGAAGACGCTCAGCGGCCAGCTCGGCTTCGAGTGCACCGCCATAACGCGCAAGGAGAAGTACAGCATACTCGCCGGGACCGACGGCCGCGTCCCTTCCAAGAACAAGGAGAAGGAAAAGAACTAGCGAGTCACAGCCTCCTATCGATCGGAGTACTCCGTATTCGCCCAGCCGACTAGTGTCACTCATGGCTTCTATCTATTGTTTACGATTTATTGTTGTTTTTCAAGAAGTTGGTAAATTACATATTGTTTCCGAGAAGGATCTCCTTGGAAAGAATTCTTTTGCACTTCTTTAATAGGTATCTTCTAGCTTTAATAGATAGAGATACTCATACACATGTTTAACGTCAGGAGGTATCTCTATATTGAAGAAAAGTACTTCCATTTTAAAATGTTACTCCCTCCATTTCACAATGTAAGTCATTCTATCATTTCTCATATTCATATTGATGTTAATGAATTTAGACTTGATGTTAATGAATTTAGACATATATCTATCTAAATTCATTAACATCAATATGAATGTGGGAAATGCTAGAATGACTTACATTGTGAAACGGAGAAAGTATCCAAGTATCGAACCAGATAGAACTTAATTGCTAATACAATATTTGCAACAGGCTCTTTTGTGCAAATCAGTATGCGATTTCTCGTTTTAATTTCTCCCCTCGTATGGGCCGAACAGTTTGATAGGCCGAAGAAAGTAAGCCAATATTAGAGTAGTAACAAACAGGATATGGCCTTTTGTGCAGGGAAAAAGTCCATTATGATGCTCTCAACTATTGCCGGAATCAGATATAACCGTAAAAATAATATAAAGGCATGTTTGACAGAACTCTATCTCAACCTCTTCTAAAGTTTGTTTGGCATAGCTCTAGCTCAACGTCTCCTGGAATACAAGTTCAGCCAAACAGTTTCAGCGCTACTTAAAAAGAGAGTGGAGTAGCTGAAGTGTTCTCACAAAATAAACTAGAAAGATGAAGTAGTGTTTAGACATATCCACAACCGATTTTCCTATTTCGCGCTCGTGTGCCATAAGCATTGCTCGCGCACAAGCGCGCTTGCTCTTGCTGAGCCTTGTGGGCCGCTGTCAGATTCAGAGTCCATAACCAATATTATGATTAGCATCAAGTAATTAATGTCTCCACGTGGATAGTTTTTTATAACCATGGATTAGTTATGTGCTAAATTTATAACTTTAAACTCAAAATTTAGAGGAAAAAAAGCATAATTTGAATTTTCAACTTGAATTTGAAACTTTTAACCCGACTTTTGAAACACTCAACTTAAAACTTTAAAATATTTAACTCAAATGTCAAAACTTTCAAATAAAAATTTCAAAACTGTCAATTCAAATTTTAAACAACTCAAAATTTGAAACTTTTGCCTCAAAATCCAAAGCTTTCAACTCCAAAATTTAAAAAATTCAACTTAAAATTTAAATCTTTCAAGTAAACTTTTTGAATATTTCAAGTAAGATTTAAAACTTTCAACTCAAAATTTAAAACTTTCAACTCCAAAATTTGAAAAATTCAATTCAAAAGTTCAAAACTTTCAACATAAGTTTTGAAACTTTCAACTCCAAAATTCAAAACTTTCAATTCAAAACTTAACTTTCAACTCTAAAGTTAAAACTTTCAAGTCGACTATGTATTGCCTACTAATTTAGTAGAAATGTCACTGTTTATGCTAATTGTGATTACACGTGATTAGCGTAAAGGGGCACAGGTACGTGCAACTTGAGATCTCGACAAATTTAAGAGTTGGAGCCCTGCCAAATAGACCCAAAGACTCCCTCCACTATCGAAACCGGCTCATTTTTCCTTTCTTAGCGGTGTGGGCGATGTTTTTATCCTATGTAGCACCTATGTGGTACATTGACCTAGTCTTTAGGACTTGTTCAGACAATCCCCAAGCTAGGGGGAGGGATTAGAAAGGATTGCGAAAATGCTAATAGCACGATTAGCTTTTTTCCTTCCTTTTTGGCCCGTTGCTAATTTTCGGACGCGTGGATTTTCGTCATTGGACTTGTTTGCGGGTGGTCTATTTTTCTTTTTTTCTGGTTTGTCTTCCTCTGTTTTTGAGCAGGCTGAATATTAATAGAGCTGTAATACAAGCACAAGGGCCTCATAGTCAATACCTTTCATTTTTTCCGAATTAATTTTTAAATTCATTTTAAATTTATATGTACAAACTTTGTACGTACAGAAAAAAATGTATAACAAATGAAACAACGAAACAGTTATTGCATTATTGTGCATTGCATTACTAACTTGATGTTGTATTGAATGCATATACATGTAATATTTGACAATTTTAATCCATTTCCGAACCGAGCTTGCATCGACTCCGCATCATTTCCGACATCGGAAATAATCTGCATCCACTCAGAACCCACTTTAAAAATATGGCATATATGATCACTATCCATCTGAATCTTCTCCTTTTGCATCCCTGCTATTGTACATGGCCGGTTAACCTCATTATCAGATTCAGCTGAATCTGTTTCTTTTTATGTGTAGAAGGTGTTTGGACTTGAAATTTCTGATATATGATATGCACTTTTGTATCAGTGTTGTATTATTCTTCTAATTTCTTGAAACTGTCTGTGAAAATTTTGAGTGGGATGTGCAAGGGAATATGCTCGTGCAAGACTGCCTCAAACGGATTACGGATGCATGCGGTTGCAAAGCGCAAGTTCCATTGTAATGTCCATTACTCCAGTCTCCATTCAATATAACTAGCTGGGTGGCCCGCGTAATTGCGCGGCTAGCACCCAAACAAAATCATATATTTTTTTTAAGTATGATTTTACTTAAAATTTATTAATAGCTATCTCATTGTCTTAAGACTTTGAAAGACCAAACCTTATCATCCTCGTGTTTCTAATTATATATTTTTTAAAAGTCACACCAGTTGCTACCCCTTATATCATCTTCTTCTTTATTTGCTTGCTCGATCTACCACTATTTTTATTCATTCTTCTTGGAACCTTTAAAAATTGGATTTTATAGTTTTTAGAGTTTATTGTCATGTTGGGTTTTATTTTTATAATTTCTAGATGTCCCGTCAAACGTTGCCATTATACTCCTCTACGGGCCATCCATTGTCTCTACTCTTTATTGTTATTGAGATTTTAAAAATCGAACATAATTATCGTTTGGGTTCATTTTTATTTTCTAGAAGTCCTGCCAAACCGTCAGTAGCTTTGCCATTGTACTCCTCTACGGCTCACCCGCTGCCTACCTTCTTTATTGTCATTGAGACATAACTATCGTTGGAATTCATTCTTTATTGTCATTGAGATTTTAAAATCGAACATAACTTATAGTTTCATTTTTTATAATTTTTAGAAGTCCTATCAAACAATGCCACTATACCCCTCTACAGCATGTTCGCCGCCTACTTCTTTATTGTCATTGTGATTCTAAAAATCGAACATAACTATCGTTGGAATTCATTTTTTATTTTCTAGAAGTCCCGTGAACCGTCGGTGGCTCTGCAACTATACTCTTATACACCCCGCCCGCTGCTTCTCCTTTTTATTATCATTGAGATTTTAAAAATCGAATACGATTATCAATGCAGTTTGTTTTTTTACTGTCTAAGAAGTCCCAGCAACCGCCTTACTCGTTTGCTTCATGTAGCGCCCGTTCCGTCTTGGCGCCTAGCGGGAAAATTATCTCTTAAAAACCCTAATTGCGAAATTTGTTTCTTTGCTTGTTGTCTATTGTCCGTGCCATCTCAAGATCTCAATCCCCGATCTATCGTCGAGTTCAATTCCGAATCCAAATCCTTCCAATCAAATTCCTCCGCAAAAGTCTATTTTGCCTCCCCCGAGGTCGATGGGCCGAATCTCGCTCGGCCCATCTTCCCCTCTTCCCCGGCCCCCTCTCTCCCCGGGCGCTCTCTCTCTCTCTCTCTCTCTCTCTCTCTCTCGCGCTCTCCCATCTCTCCCCCCCCCCGCTCGGCCTCGCCCGCACGCCGCGCGCGCCGAGCGCCCCCTCCCTTTCCTCTCGCTCTGCCGCGCCTGCAGCCGCGCAGCCGCTCGTCCTCGCGAGCCAGCGTGTGCGCGCCCGCGCGGACGCCACTCGTTGCTTCCCGCACGCGCGTGCCGTGGTGGCCGACCGCCCGGTCGCCGCCGCCGTCAGCCTCTGCACGCGCCTGTCGCCAGTGTCGCCGCTCCGCTCCAAACCGCACCGCCGTCATCGCCGTCGTCATTGCCCGGCCCCCGCCCCTACGCGCGCAAGCCGCCAAGGGACGGAGGCAGCGCCCCTCCTCCCTCTGCCGCGTCGCCCCCGCTCCCCTCCTCCTTTTTCCCGAATCGGCAAAAGGGCAAGCCCCTTTCTCCCCCTCCTTTTTCCCCTTTTTCCCCCGCCGGCGTCATCCTCCCTGTCGCCGCTTTGGCCGCGACCGCCGAGCGCCAGCTCACGCCTTGACCGCCCTAAGTCGGTTCCCAAACCGACATTGCCGCCCCCTTTAAACCCCAGCTCCTTCCCCTCCAATCTCCCTCGTTTTCGCCTCCTCGCCATAGCTGCCGCCCCCGTGCTCTGTTCGCCGTCGCCGTTCGTTGTTGTGCGTGTCGAAGGAGTCGGCACGAGCAAGGACGCGGAAGGGGACTTCGGCCGCGCCCTCTCCTTCCTCTTCCCCGGCCCGAGGCCGGAGAGATTACTCCCGCGCCGTCGGCCTCTCGTCACAGCGCCCCTCCTCATCTCGGTGATGCCTCCCTCCGTTCTTCCTCCTCGCCCCATCTCCTCCCCCTAGCTTACGGTAGTAGCTCGAGTAGACTCCCCGTAGCTAGCCGGCGCCGCCCCGACCGTTGCCGTCGCTCGCCGCGTGCTCGCCGCCATCGCCGCTCGAGCTCCGTAGCACCCGCACGTCGCCAGCCTCGCTCGGCGTAGCTCCGTCCAATCCGACGCTAGTATCGGATTCCCGTGGTCGCGTGGATGCTCTCACCGCCGGGAATCGGTCTCTCGTGACCTCGTCGCCGTTTCCCTCTTCTCTCGCCGCCGGTTGCCGCCGCCGCAATCCGCCGCCGTCGAGCAACCTCCGACGAATCCGAGCCGTTGGCTCGTCTCCCCTTGTCACGTGCAACCGCCCGGTGTGCACGCTTTTGCCCGTATCACCGTGGTTCGCACCGCCGCTCGCCACCGCCGCCCGCCGTCCATTCGCAGCCGGGTCGTCGTCTACCTCCCGCCGGCCCGCGTGGCAGCCACGTAGGCACCACGTCGGCGCCAGCTCAGCCTAGACCGGATCGAGCCGACCCCGGTCAATCCCTCCCCGTGCGCGCGTTCCACCGCGAGCCGTGAGGCTGCGCGTGGGCCCGCCGCACCTGCGTCCACCGCGGACCGCGCGCATGCACCGCGTCCCTTCCCCGCCCGCGCGCGTGCGTCGCGTGCTCCCTCCGCCCGGTGAGCCGAGCCACTGACAAGCGGGTCCC